GCCAACTGATTGGATGTTGCTGAAGTGGCCCCCTATGTCACTGGATTGGATGTTGTTGGGTGGAGTGGCCCCCACATGTCATCTGATTGGAGGTTGCTTTGTTCAGTGCCTCCCATATGTCACTCGATTGGGGGGTTGCTAGATGAATTGACCCCTCCATATGTCACCTTATTAGGTGTTGTTGGGTGAAGTGACCCCTCATATGTCATTGGATTGGATGTTGTTAAGTGAGGTGACCCCCACATAGGCCATTGGATTGGATGTTACTATGTGAGGTTACCCTCGTATGTGATTGGATTGGATATTGCTAGGTGAGGTCACCCCCCATATGTCATTGGATTGGATGTTACTAGGTGAGGTGACCCCATATGTCATTGGATTGGATGTTGCTAGATGAGGTGACCCCCATATGTCATTGGATTGGATGTGAATGAGGTGACCCCCCATATGTCATTGGATTGGATGTTGCTAGGTGAGGTTACCCCCATATGTCATTGGAATGGATGTTGCTAGGTGAGGTGACCCCTCATATGTAATTGGATTGGATGTTGCTAGGTGAGTTGACCCCCTGTATGTCATTGGATTGGATGTTGCTAGGTGAGGTGACCCCCATATGTCATTGGATTGGATGTTGCTAGGTGAGGTGACCCCCCATATGCCATTGGATTGGATGTTGCTAGGTGAGGTGACCCCCCATATGTCATTGGATTGGATGTTGTAGGGTGAGGTGACCCCCGTATGTCATTTGGATTCGATGTTGCTAGGTTAGTTGACCCTCCGTTTGTCACTGGATTAGATGTTGCTGGGTTGGGTGACCCCCCATATGTCTTTGGATTGGATGTTGCTAGGTGAGGTGACCCCCCATGTGTCATTGGATTGGATGTTGTTAGGTGAAGTGACCCTCCATATGTCATTGGATTGGATGTTGCTAGGTGAGGTGACCCCCATATGTCATTGGATTGGATGTTGCTAGGTGAGGTGACCCCCCATATGTCATTGGATTGGATGTTGCTAGGTGAGGTGACCCCCATATGTCATTGGATTGGATGTTGCTAGATGAGGTGACCCCCATATGTCATTGGATTGGATGTTTCTAGGTGAGGTGACCCCCATATTGGATTGGATGTGTTAGATGAGGTGACCCCCCATATGTCATTGGATTGGATGTTGCTAGGTGAGGTGACCCCCCATATGCCATTGGATTGGATGTTGCTAGGTGAGGTGATCCCCCATATTGGATTGGATGTGTTAGATGAGGTGACCCCCCATATGTCATTGGATTGGATGTTGCTAGGTGAGGTGACCCCCCATATGTCATTGGATTGGATGTTGCTAGGTGAGGTGACCCCCCATATGCCATTGGATTGGATGTTGCTAGGTGAGGTGATCCCCCATATTGGATTGGATGTGTTAGATGAGGTGACCCCCCATATGTCATTGGATTGGATGTTGCTAGGTGAGGTGACCCCCCATATGTCATTGGATTGGATGTTGCTAGGTGAGGTGACCCCCATATGTCATTGGATTGGATGTTGCTAGGTGAGGTGACCCCCATATGTCATTGGATTGGATGTTGCTAGGTGAGGTGACCCCCATATGTCATTGGATTGGATGTTGTTAGGTGAAGTGACCCATATGTCATTGGATTGGATGTTGCTAGGTGAGGTGACCCCCATATGTCATTGGATTGGATGTTGCTAGGTGAGGTGACCCCCATATGTCATTGGATTGGATGTTGCTAGGTGAGGTGACCCCCCATATGTCATTGGATTGGATGTTGCTAGGTGAGGTGACCCCCCATATGTCATTGGATTGGATGTTGCTAGGTGAGGTGACCCCCATATGTCATTGGATTGGATGTTGCTAGGTGAGGTGACCCCCATATGTCATTGGATTGGATGTTGCTAGGTGAGGTGACCCCCCATATGTCATTGGATTGGATGTTGCTAGGTGAGGTGACCCCCATATTGGATTGGATGTGTTAGATGAGGTGACCCCCCATATGTCATTGGATTGGATGTTGCTAGGTGAGGTGACCCCCATATGTAATTGGATTGGATGTTGCTAGGTGAGGTGACCCCCCATATGCCATTGGATTGGATGTTGCTAGGTGAGGTGATCCCCCATATTGGATTGGATGTGTTAGATGAGGTGACCCCCCATATGTCATTGGATTGGATGTTGCTAGGTGAGGTGACCCCCCATATGTCATTGGATTGGATGTTGTAGGGTGAGGTGACCCCCGTATGTCATTTGGATTGGATGTTGCTAGGTTAGTTGACCCTCCGTTTGTCACTGGATTAGATGTTGCTGGGTTGGGTGACCCCCCATATGTCTTTGGATTGGATGTTGCTAGGTGAGGTGACCCCCCATGTGTCATTGGATTGGATGTTGCTAGGTGAGGTGACCCCCATATGTCATTGGATTGGATGTGTTAGATTAGGTGACCCCATATGTCATTGGATTGGATGTTGCTAGATGAGGTGATCCTCCATATTGGATTGGATGTGTTAGATGAGGTGACCCCCCATATGTCATTGGATTGGATGTTGCTAGGTGAGGTGATCCCCCATATTGGATTGGATGTGTGAGATGAGGTGACCCCTCATATGTCATTTGATTGGATGTTGCTAGGTGAGGTGATCCCCCATATTGGATTGGATGTGTTAGATGAGGTGACCCCCCATATGTCATTGGATTGGATGTTGCTAGGTGAGGTGATCCCCCATATTGGATTGGATGTGTGAGATGAGGTGACCCCTCATATGTCATTTGATTGGATGTTGCTAGGTGAGGTGACCCCCCATATGCCATTGGATTGGATGTTGCTAGGTGAGGTGACCCCCATATGTCATTGGATTGGATGTTGCTAGGTGAGGTGACCCCCATATGTCATTGGATTGGATGTTGCTAGGTGAGGTGACCCCCCATATGCCATTGGATTGGATGTTGCTAGGTGAGGTGACCCCCATATGTCATTGGATTGGATGTTGCTAGATGAGGTGACCCCCATATGTCATTGGATTGGATGTTTCTAGGTGAGGTGACCCCCATATTGGATAGGATGTGTTAGATGAGGTGACCCCCCATATGTCATTGGATTGGATGTTGCTAGGTGAAGTGACCCTCCATATGTCAATGGATATTACTAGGTGGAGTGCCCCCTTTCCCATACATCACGGGGAAAGAAAGTTGACATGGATATGAGGGGAGGAAATATGAAGGGAAGAAACTTTAGGAGGAAACAAGAGAAGAGATTCCATCTGAACCTGAGGAAGAACTTCCTGACTGTGAGAGCTGTTCAGCAGTGGAACTCTCTGCCCCTGAGTGTGGCGGAGGCTCCTTCTTTGGAGGCTTTTAAACAGAGGCTGGATGGCCATCTGTCGGGGCATTTGAATGTGATTTTCCTGCTTTTGTCTGCCTGTTTTGACACAGGTGAATAACCATTAACGTTTATTGTTATTATATTTTTATTATTATACTTTTATTGCTAATAATAATAATAGTATTAATGTTCTTGGATTGACCATTAAACCGTGTACATATTCTTTCTCCTATGACAGGCTTCTGAAGTATCTCTTCAAAGCCGGAAGATAAATACAAAAGCAGTTACTTTGCCCTCCGTTATGGGGAAATAAGGACGCTGTTTATCTTAGTCTGAAAGGAAACCACAAAAGAGAGGCTGCAGAAGGAAGTGAGGCAGGATTTGCAGAAGTGTTCTGTTTTATCTCAACAGTGAAAGGTCATAAAAGCTAATAAGGGCTTTGGGGTGGCCTCAGAAAACACCCAGTTGAACCAGTTCTCATCCCAAATGAAGGCTTTCCTGGGAACAGCTCCATGCCTCTAGGGATAATTGTATTCAATGCTCAGATACAGCCAAAAGGCACAGTCTATAGATAGAAAGGATCAGCTATTACCCTCTATGCCAGGGATTAATGTATGCATCTAGGGGTCTGAAGCTAATCCTTTCTATCTATAGACTGCCCTCTTGTGGCTGCATCAGAGCATTGCACACATTCATCCCCAGAAGTTATAGCCAATTCTTTCTAGCTATACACCGCCGCCTTGTGGCTGCATCTGAGCATTGCATACAATCATCCCTAGAAGTGATAGCTAATCCTTTCTATCTCTAGACTTCTTCCCTGTCGCTGCATCAGAGCATTGCATACCATCATCCCTAGAGGTTATAGCCAATCCTTTCTATCCTAGACTGCCCCCTGTGGTTGCATCTGAGCATTGCATACATTCATCCCTAAAGACTAATAGCTTATCCTTTCTATCTCTAGACTTCTCCCTTGTTGCATTTCATGCAATCATCCCTAGAGGTTATAGCCAATCCTTTCTATCTATACATTGCCCTCTTGTGGCTGCATCAGAGCATTGCATACATTCATCTCTAGTGGTTATAGCTAATCCTTTCTATCTATACACTGCCCCCTTGTGGCTGCATCTGAGCATGGCATACATTCATCCCTAGAGGTTATAGCTAATCCTTTCTATCTATACACTGCCCCCTTGTGGCTGCATCTGAGCATGGCATACATTCATCCCTAGAGGTTATAGCTAATCCTTTCTATCTATACATTGCCCCCTTGTGGCTGCATCTAAGCATGGCATACATTCATCCCTAAAGTTTAATAGCTAATCCTTTCTAGCTATAGCCTGTCCACTTGTGGCTGCATCTGAGCATTGCATACACTCATCCCTAAAGGTTAATAGCTAATCCTTTCTATCTATAGACAGTACACTTGTGGCTGCATCTGAGCATTGCATACTCTCGTCCCTAGAGGTTATAGCTAATCCTTTCTATCTATAGCCTGTCCACTTGTGGCTGTATCGGAGCATTGCATACACTCACCCCTAATGTTGTAGCTAATCCTTTCTACCTATAGACGGCCCTCTTGTGGCTGCATCTGAGAATTGCCTACGTACCTAGAGACCTGGAGCTAATCCTTTTTCACTTTTTGGAGACCTTGATCCCATTTTACCTCTTTTTCTAGGTGGGTGTTTCTCTACGAAAAAGGCTACCAGTCTAAGGATGGGATCATCAGTTCGGTTTCGGTGAAGCTCAAAGGCTTGACGCTGACCAATTTTAGCGACATGGGCCCGTACATATGGGACGTAGCCGATTACGTTTTCCCGCCGCAGGTGAGAGATGCTCAAAAAGAAAGAAAGAAAGAAAATTAGTTCAAAAGTGTTGCCAAACTTGTATTCATCCTGCAATGTAGATACCCCCTAAAATATTATTTAAAAATTGTTTTATTACAAAAACTTTGAAAATTCGCCAAAAATCAGTGGATGCGTGAAACTTTCTGAAATTTGATTGGCTAACAGTAGCCAATGTGTTCTACCATCGTAGCAAGTTTCACCCCAATAGCTTTAAAAATGAGGGAGAAGGGAAATTTCCCTGATTTTAATTATTTACTTATGCACAATTACTAGGACGAAATGGTAACAAAATACCGTTACTCTCATCATAGTAAGAATTTTTCTCTAAGTATACTTTAGAAACACTTTAGAAATGAAGTGCCAGCGTCCCCAACTTTTGGAATGACTCATTTTTTAAATGGATCGCACATCCCTATATTTATTTACAGTATTTATATTCCAACCAGGGATGAGCTTGCAGCACTGCCTGGTTTGGAAGAAGTTAGCAATGCCATCAGCCAACAAAAAAATAACAAAGCCAGCGGACCAGATGGGATCCCTGCTGAAATCTTTAAAGAGGGAGGACCTGAGCTGACACAACAACTCCACCAGCTCATAGATTTATATTCCAGTCTTCTCACCCCACAGTGCACATACACATGGCAAACATTCACTGCCACAGACATACAACATATATAGACAGACAAACAGAGGCTATTTAACTTTCCAGCTTCATGAGGGTATCATCAAATTCCAGCCACCAGAGGAGCTGTCGCTTCACCGTCCACTTGTAACACAAACGGAGCACTTCCTCATTCTTTTGCATGCTGCTGGAGATTTTTATGGCATCATAAATTAGTTAAATTAGCCTCCCTGCATAAGCGGTACTTACATTTCCTACTTGACAGATGCAACTGTCTTTCCGTTTGCAAAGGTCAACAGCAAGCTAGACAAATTCCAGCCATCGGGGGAGCTGTCGCTTCACCGTCCACTTGTAATACAAACGGAGCACTTCCTCATTCTTTTGCATGCTGCTGGAGATTTTTATGACATCATAAATTAGTTAAATTAGCCTCCCCTGCATAAGCGGTACTTAAATTTCCTACTTGACAGATGCAACTGTCTTTCCGTTTGCAAAGGTCAACAGCAAACTAGACAAATTCCAGCCATCGGGGGAGCTGGCGCTTCACTGTCCACTTGTGACACCAATAGAGTACTTCCTCATTCTTTTGCATGCTGCTGGAGATTTTTATGACATTGTAAATTAGTTAAATTAGCCTCCCCGCATAAGCGGTACTTAAATTTCCTACTTGACAGATGCAACTGTCTTTCGGGCTGCAAAGGTTGACAGCAAACTAGACCAGCACTTCTCAATCTTCCTAATGCCGCGACCCCTTAATCCAGTTCCTCCTGTTGTGTTGACCCCCAACCATAACATTATTTTTGTTGCTACTTCACAACTGCGATTTTGCAACTGTTATGAATTGGAATGTAAATAGCTGATATACAGGATGTATTTACATTCACTGGACCAAACTGGGCACAAATACCCAATATATCCAAATTGGGTTGGGCGGGGGGATTAATTTTGTCATTTGGGATTTATAGTTCACCTACAATGAAAGAGCATTCTGAACCCCCACCAACGATGGAATGAAACCAAACTTGGCACACAGAACTCCCATCACCAATAGAAAATATTGGAAGGATTTGGTGGGCATTGACCTTGAATTTTGGAGTTGTAGTTCACCTACATCCAGAGAGCACTGTGGACTCAAACAATGATGGATCTGGATCAAACTTGGCATGAATACTCAATGTGCCCAAATGTGAACACAGATGGAGTTAGGGGAAAATAGACCTTGACATTTGGGAGTTGTCATTGCTGGGATTTATAGTTCATCTACAATCGAAAAGCATTCTGAACTCCACCAACGATGGAATTGAACCAAACTTGGCACACAGAACTCCCATGACTAACAGAAAATACTGGAAGGGTTTGGTGGGCATTGACCTTAAGTTTTGGAGTTGTAGTTCTACATCCAGAGAGCACTCTGGACACAAACAATGATGGATCTGGACTAAACTTGAGACAGATACTCAATATGCCCAAATGTGAACACTGGTGGAGTTTGGGGAAAATTTGGGAGTTGTAGTTACTGGGATTTGTAGTTCACCTACAATCACAGAGCATTCTGAACCCCACCAATGATAGAATTGGGCCAAACTTCCCACACAGAACCCCCCAAGAGCAACAAAAAATACTGTGTTTTCTGATGGTTTTTGGCGACCCCTCTGACACCCCCTCGCGACCCCCACAGGGGTCCCGACCCCCAGGTTGAGAAACACTGAACTAGACAAATAGTTGGAAGCTTACTCCAACCAAACTCATTAGTGATTTTAATGCAGCTGACTCCCAATCAGCTGCACCACAACCGTACATTGTTGTCGCCATCGTCTTCTTGCAGGGAGACAGTTCCTTTGTGGTGATGACCAACTTTATTGTGACTCGGGGACAAAAACAGGAAAAATGTCCAGAGGTAAGCCATTCATTATTATTAATATTATTATTATTATTATTATTATTATTATTATTATCTAATAATTCTTTCTTGAGTCTGGTTTTCGTTGGCTGGGAGGATGGGAGTCTCGTCACCTGTATGCATGGAAATCAAACAAGGTTGGAGAGCAGGTCCCATCGTCCTCCATATGAATCCTGACCCATGCTGTTTCAAAGGCCAGGGAATGAGATCTCCTTGCCAAACCGTCATTGCCTGTCTGGCTTTCTCCCAGCATCCAGAGGCAGGGAAATGCGACGGAGACGGCAAGTGCGCCGAAGGCACGTTCCTGCGTCAGGGTCAAGGTGAGAAGGAGAAGGTATGAGGGGGGAAGGGAGGAAGGAAAGAAGGGAGGGAGGAAGTGGAAAAGGGAGGAAGGAAAGAGCCACAGGCAGATAGTAGGCATGGGCAATCCATGGTGCTAAATGGTTCTAAAGTACTTACAAAACTAGAGGGCACTGGTGCTTTGCTTCTAAAGCGTTGCTAAAGTTGGTGCTTTGCTTCTAAAGCGTTGCTAAAGTTGGTGCTTTGCTTCTAAAGCGTTGCTAAAGTTGGTGCTTTGCTTCTAAAGCGTTGCTAAAGTTGGTGCTTTGCTTCTAAAGCGTTGCTAAAGTTGGTGCTTTGCTTCTAAAGCATTGCTAAAGTTGGTGCTTTGCTTCTAAAGCGTTGCTAAAGTTGGTGCTTTGCTTCTAAAGCGTTGCTAAAGTTGGTGCTTTGCTTCTAAAGCGTTGCTAAAGTTGGTGCTTTGCTTCTAAAGTGTTGCTAAAGTTGGTGCTTTGCTTCTAAAGTGTTGCTAAAGTTGGTGCTTTGCTTCTAAAGTGTTGCTAAAGTTGGTGCTTTGCTTCTAAAGTGTTGCTAAAGTTGGTGCTCTGCTTCTAAAGTGTTGCTGAAGTTGGTGCTTTGCTTCTAAAGTGTTGCTAAAGTTGGTGCTTTGCTTCTAAAGTGTTGCTAAAGTTGGTGCTCTGCTTCTAAAGTGTTGCTGAAGTTGGTGCTTTGCTTCTAAAGTGTTGCTAAAGTTGGTGCTTTGCTTCTAAAGTGTTGCTAAAGTTGGTGCTTTGCTTCTAAAGTGTTGCTAAAGTTGGTGCTTTGCTTCTAAAGTGTTGCTAAAGTTGGTGCTTTGCTTCTAAAGTGTTGCTAAAGTTGGTGCTTTGCTTCTAAAGTGTTGCTAAAGTTGGTGCTTTGCTTCTAAAGTGTTGCTAAAGTTGGTGCTTTGCTTCTAAAGTGTCGCTAAAGTTGGTGCTTTGCTTCTAAAGTGTTGCTAAAGTTGGTGCTTTGCTTCTAAAGTGTTGCTAAAGTTTTGGTGGTGAAAATTTCAGAACACTAACAAAACTTTCAAAATTTCATTATTATTTCGTTATTGGCAATTTTTATGACAGGACCAATTAGGAACTGCCATTTATACTGACATTTTGAAAGTTTTGTTAGAGTTCTGAAATTTTCACCACCCAAACTTTAGCAATACTTTAGAAGCAAAGCGCCAAAGTTTTGTAAGTACTTTAGAAACATTTAGAATCATGGATTGCCCATGCCTAGCAGACAGCCCACTGTCACCAGAGTGTTACCATGGAGACCTTGTAAGGTAGGCCTCCTCAGAGTTGGAGAAGGGAGAAAGCAGGCAGGCAGCAGTGATATATGCAAGTTATAAGTAGTTAAAAAACTGAAACACTTAAAACACAGCACCCCCAGCACATTCTTAAAAAACTTTCTTCTTTCTTCAAGGCCTAATGACTGGGAAATGTGTGAATTTCAGCCGCACGCAGAAGACCTGTGAGATTTTCGGCTGGTGCCCTGTGGAGATTGACGACGAAGTGCCCAAGTAAGGAGCCGAGCCTTCACTTTTCTGGCAAGGCTTCTTGAATGAGTGTGGAATGAACTGTGTTTCCTCATATAAGAGCCTAGAACCCCCTCCAAATGGGGAATATGTATGTAATGCTCAGGTGCAGCCACTAGAGGGCAGTCAATAGATAGAAAGGATTAGCTATTAGCCTCTAGGGATAATCGTATGCATTGCTCAGATGCAGCGGCAAGGGAGCAGTCTATAGATAGAAAGGATCAGCTATTAGCTTCTAGGGATATGAATGTATGCAATGTTCACATGCAGCCACAAGAGGGCAGTCTATAGATAGAAAGGATCAGCTATTAGCCTCTAGGGATATGAATGTATGCAATGCTCACATGCAACAACAAGAGGGAAGTATGTAAACAGAAAGAATCAGGTATTAGCCTCTAACGGTGAATGTATGCAATGCTCAGATGCAGCCATAAGGGGGCAGTGTATAGATAGAAAGGATTAGCTATTAGACTCTAGGGATGAATGTATGCAATGCTCAGATGCAGCTACAAGAGGACAGTCTATATACAGAAAGGATCAGCTATTAGCCTTATATGGATGATTGTATGCAATGGTCAGATACAGCCACAAGACGGCACTCTGTAAATAGAAAGGATCAGCTATTAGCCTCTAGGGCAGTGATTCTCAACCTGTGGGTCCTCGGTTGTTTTGGCCTACAACTCCCAGAAATCCCAGCCAGTTTGCCAGCGGTTAGGATTTCTGGGAGTTGAAGGCCAAAAAATCTGGGGACCCACAGGTTGAGAACTACTGCTCTAGGGATATGAATGTTTACAGTGCTCAGATGCAGCCATAAGAAGGAAGTGTATAGATAGAAAGGATTAGCTATTAGCCTCTAGGGATATGAATGTTTGCAATGCTCAGATGCAGCCACAAGAGGGTGGTGTATAGATAGAAAGGATCAGCAACTCGCTTCTAGGGATGAATGCATGCAATGCTCAGATGCAGCCACAAGAAGGTGGTGTATAGATAGAAAGATCAGTTATTAGCTTCTAGGGGTGAATGTATGCAATGCTCACATGCCACCACAAGAGGGCAGTCTATAGATAGAAAGGATCAGCTGTTGGACTCTAATAATAATAATATTTATTTATTTATTTATTTATTTATTTATATTCTGCTTTTCTCCCAAAAAAAGGATTCTAGGAATGAATGTTTGCAGTGCTCGGATGCAACCACAAGAGTGCAGCATATAGATATAAAGGGATGAATGTACACAGTGCTCAAAGGGAGAGATGACAAATGGAAAAGGGTTGGAGGTGTAAAATAAAATAGAGAGAGATCATATCCCCATTATTCGATCTTCTTTTGACATTGTGATGCCCCTCTTTGTGTCTTGCAGCCCACCTCTGCTTCTCGCCGCTGAGAATTTCACCCTATTTATCAAGAACAGCATCACTTTCCCCAAGTTCAAAGTTGCCAGGTAGAGCGGCCATGAGTTTAGAATATTTTCCTAGCAAAACCTGATTCTTTTCCTCTCAGTAGTTATAATGGGGTAATCATAATAATAATTATTATGTTTATTATTATCATGTTTATTTATACCCTGCTATTTCCCCCCACAAAGAGCCTCAAAGAATGAACCCTGCAGGGGTATTATTATTATTATTATTATTATTATTATTATTATTATTAAATCTGTTTGCAAGATGTGTAACTCCAGCCATAGTTACATAGATGGCGACAAGGTGCCTCCTCCACCGCTTCTGGAAGGTAAAGAAGGTGAGGAGGTGTTGCCTTGCTACTTAAATTTATATTTTAGATAGAAAGGATAAGCTATTAGCCTCTAGGGTTGACTGTATGCAATGCTCAGATGCAGCCACAAGAAGGCAATGTATAGATAGAAAGGATCAGCTATTAGGTAAAGAGGGAGAGGAGGAGGAGGTGGCGGGGCCTTTCTGCTCAGTGTTGCCTCGCTACTTAAATTTATATTTTAGATAGAAAGGATCAGCTATTAGGCTCTAGGGCTGACTGTGTTGCCTAGCTACTTCAATTTATATCTTAGATAGAAAGGATCAGCTATTAGGCTCTAGGGCTGACTGTGTTGCCTCACTACTTCAATTTATATTTTAGATAGAAAGGATCAGCTATTAGCCTCTAGGGCTGACTGTGTTGCCTCACTACTTCAATTTATATTTTAGATAGAAAGGATCAGCTATTAGCCTCTAGGGCTGACTGCGTTGCCTCRCTACTTCAATTTATATTTTAGATAGAAASGATCAGCTATTAGCCTCTAGGGYTGWCTGYGTTRCCTCRCTACTTCAATTTATATTTTAGATAGAAAGGATCARCTWTTAGCCTCTAGGGYTGACTGTRTTRCCTCRCTACTTCAATTTATATTTTAGRTAGAAAGGATCARCTATTAGCCTCTRGGGCTGWCTGTRTTRCCTCGCTACTTCAATTTATATTTTAGATAGAAAGGATCAGCTWTTAGCCTCTAGGGCTGACTGTGTTRCCTCGCTACTTCAATTTATATTTTAGATAGAAAGGATCAGCTATTAGCCTCTAGGGCTGACTGTCTCAATGYTCACATGCAGCCACAAGAAGGCAGTGTATAGATAGAAAGGATCAGCTATTAGGTAAAGAGGGCAAGGAGGAGGAGGGGGAGGAGAAGGGGGGCTTTCTGCTAAGTGTTGCCTCGCTACTTAAATTTGTATTTTAAAAAAATGCAAAACAGCGAGTCTGCAAAAAGTGAACCACAAAGTAGCGAGGGAACACTACATGGAGTACAGAGAGGGAGGCAGCCGCAAGAAGGAAAAGCGCGAGAGAGATAAAGACAGCTCTCCAGTGTCTCCAGATCAAGAGAGGAGAGGGCTTTTTTAAGGAAGACTGGGGAAGGATACCTCCAGGCCGATCTCTTGTCCTTCTCTGGAAAGTGGGAAGCTTCCTTAAAATGCCTTGGAAGAATGCATGCTGCAGGAAGAGAGAGTGCACGCCTGCAGCACGTGTCTCCTCTAGAATAGATACAGCTTTAACAAAAGGGAAAGAATTTCAGAAAGTGTGGTATCTTCACTATGATTCTTTTAATCCAGGGTGCAAACCACTTTTGTTAGCATTCCCTGCCAGGCTCCAGTGAGTCTCGGCCCTTCGGGAAACTGGGGATGTCAGCAACACTGGGCGCAACCCACTTATGACACTAATGGGTGCAATGGAAGCATTCCCCGGCCTGCCTCTTTGTCTGTCTGTCCTCCGCAGGCGCAACCTGGTGGAGAAAGTCACGAAGGCCTACCTGAGGAACTGCACCTACCACAAGGCCAAGGACCCCTTGTGCCCCGTCTTCCGCTTGGGCGGTGCCGTGGAGGCCTCCGGGCAGAGCTTTGCCTCCCTCGCCCGGAAGGTGAGCGCGTCAGAAATATTGTATTTTTCATTTCAAGAATGACATACGGTCACTGAAAGAGTTAAAATCATGCAATGACTAAGCAAAACCAGTAGGGTAATAGAAGCAGGTGTGCCTGTGAGTTACTCGCTCCTCCTGTGTGAAGACTTCTGTCTGTATGAAGAATGCCTCAGTGTAAGGACTGCTGTGTTTGACTACTCCAAATAGAGAGCTGCTTCAGTTTGAAGATTGTTGAATGTTCTTTATCTACACAAGAGAGACGCCCAGTGTGAAGGCAAGAAGCAGAAGCAAAGATACAACAAAGAAGTATAAATGATTTGGTTTATGTTATGGAAAGGCCTCTGAAGGAAGATAACAATAGTCTCTGTGTGTTTTTATTTCATCTTATACTGGTTGCTGGTTCTGGGTTGCACTGCTGCTGTTAGCAGGGGCGGCTCGTCCATTACGCAAAGTAAGCGGTCGCAAAACACTTTTTTTTTGCCAGGGGCTCAGAGGCGCCTCTGTAAATGCCCCTCGACTGCCACTTGAGGAGCACCCCCTCAGCTCACAACAGCCCTAGCAGTCCGGGGGGAGCCTCGACTTTTTTGCCTCGCTGCCGGGCGATCCACTTCCCAAAGGGACCGGGCCCTTGAGCCTCGCCTAGCCCCTCTTGTTCCTGCTCCACCCGGCCACCAGGTGCACGAGCAGAGCTGGCGCTCAATCGTTCTCCGCGTTAGATCCCTTCCCCATGACCGGCTCCCTTTCCCGATCCCCCAGCGCCCCACCCGCCTCCTCTCCTCTCCTCTCCCCAATCCACGGGTGGGCCAAGGGGCGGAGCCACCGCGCCTGGCCTGCTTCGGGTCCGGAGGAGTGTCTGAAGACCCCAGCGTGCGCACCAAAAGTCGCCTCTTCTCCTGACTTTCTCTTCAGCCATTGGGACCAAGAGAGAGAGAGAGAGAGCCCCTCCGGCTGGAGGTATCTCCCACCTCCGCTCCCTCCTTTGTTTTTGCGCCTACCTTCAGGAAAGGTGGGCATCTCCACCTCTCTCTCTCTCTCTCTCGGTCCCAATGGCTGAGGAGAAAGTCAGGAGAAGAGGTGACTTTTGGTGCACACGCCGGGGTCTTCAGGCACGCCTCCAGACCCAAAGCGGGCCAGGTAAGGGAGCAAATGCGGCAAGTGTAGTTACTGGGATGTATAGTTCACCTACAATCAAAGAGCATTCTGAACTCCACCAATGATGGAATTGAACCAAATATGGCACACAGAACTCCCACGACAAACAGAATATATATATCAATGATTGGTTGGGGGGGGGGGCGCCAAAATACTATTTGCTTACCGTTGAAAATTACCTAGGGCTGCCTCTGGCTGCTAGATATGCTGCTCTGCTATATACTTTTATGGTGAGGGTCTTTTGTTATTAAACCCATTTGCCTAACAGAGTGCGGCCAGGTTCCAGAGCAGTGGGCAGGTGGGACCTAGAACCTGGCCACAGGAAGGAAGGAAGCCACCCCCAAGTGATGAACCAGACAGATTTTGTAGATCTGTTCTTAAGCTGAATCTGTATGCAAGTCAGAACAGGAACATTTTCAGAGTCTATCTCCAGCCAAAGAGAAAGAAAGAGATGTACAGTATTTATATTATGCCCTTCTCACCCTGAAAGGGACTCATGGCGGATCACAGAACACATATACTGACAGGACAGACACCGTACACAGAGGTAGTATATAGACTTTTCCCATCTTTGTGTCGCAACTCAGGATAGATTCACCTTGCTCAGAACAACACCACACACCAGGGCTGTAGGTTTTGTAGTTTATTGAAGAAAGGTAAAGTCCAAAGCATAGAAATATGGTTGTTGAAGTTCAAAAGTCAAAATAGATCTTAAATGCAAGGCAAAGGAGGGATGGACGTGGCACCTTTTCCCCAAGGGATTGCTTCTTGCCCTCCTATAGGAAACCGGAACTCCCAAAACACTGTAAATAGCTCAAGATAAGTTTTATTTATCACAAAGTCATTTCTTCAAAGCAACGTCCATCTGGTACAAACTCTGATGGCAGAATGAAGAAGAAAAAGGAAGCTCTCCCCTCTTGCAGGAAGAGGTGGAGCCAAACAGTACTGATTGACAGCTACAAGCAACCAATCCATACAACTATACATAAGCAGGGTAAAAAGGGGCAGGATTAAGCATGATACAACAGTTTAAATCTTGCAACTAACAGTTCTATACATAGGTGGCGCCACTTGTGCCGTCACAGTCCCAGAAATGAAGCTCCAAAACCAAAGTCCCAAAGAGCTAACAGCTTTCCCCTTAAAGCCGAGGAGATTGTAAGGAAGTTCACAGGTTGTGAGCGAAGTTACTCTGACAAAGAGTTGCCTTCAAACAGATCATGAAGTATGCTTTGCTAGCATAAAAGCATTACGTTGCCCTTGGCATTCCCGCTTGTTTGCAAGCCGAGTGCTACGGCGTAACTGTAATTGCAAACGGTCCTCCCTAAGCAGATCCTCATTACTTTCAAGGCTGGATCCCTCATTATCTTGTGACTGGCCTGCCTGGGAATCGATCGGCACTGAGTTCACAGAAGGTACAGCCAACTCCTCCACCTGCAGCTGTGAATCCAAATCACAACTGTCTTCTAAAACAACATTCCTTTCCCTGGGAAACTGAGGTGCTTCAAAATAATAATAATATGCAGAAGACTGTAACCCATCATCCTCCTCGTCCTGAGGAAACTCAGGCTCAGAAAGAGGAAACTCAGGCTCAGAAAGCCCATGCTCAGGCTGAGCCACAACACTTTGACGTCTTAGAGGTCATGCTCGATTCCGGCCACAGGGGGAGCCGAAGAGCCTGTTCAAAGACGTAGCGAGGGAACACTGTACATGGAGTGCAGAGAGGGATGCAGCCACAAGAAGGAAAAGCGCGAGAAGGATAAAGACAGCTCTCCAGTGTCTCCAAATCAAGATAAGGCTTTTTAAAGGAAGCCTGTGGTAGAATACCGCCAGGCCGATCTCTCTTCCTTCCCTGGAAAGTGGGAAGCTTCCTTAAAATGAGTTGGAAAACTGTGTCTAGCTTGCTGCCAACCTTTGCAGCCTGTTGGGGTTCAGCCTCAATCTCTGTGTGAACCTGATTCTCTGAGTGCTGAGCCTTAATCTCTGTGTGAACCTGATTCTCTGAGTGTATTTCCTGATGCAACTGAGCAAGCCACTGAACATGTATCTTTCCCTGATAGTGTTGAAACTGTTGATGCTGAGGTCAGTGGCGGGGAAAGTGAAACTGATGAGAATGTTTTAGAATCAAGCCGTGATAGCTCTCCAGAGGGAATCACACTTGGGTTCTTTAATGACGACCGAAGGAAACAGATTTGGAAAAACAGGAGTGAATCACAGTTTCTACGAAGGTCAAATAGATTACGGGAGAGGGAGGCTTCAAAGTCTGGAGGCGTTTCAAGAAATAGTTTCTTTAGTTTAAGAGGCCTCCCCCCAGTTGTCTCGTTAGATCAAGCAACGTTTTAGATTGAAGCACCATCTTGGCAGATTTCCTGTGTTCCATGGCCTGCATTCCCAGAGGCTTCTAGTTTTCAAGTACGGTTAGTGATATTCTAACAGGTTCCTGGTCTTGGTATTGTTGTTTTTGGAATTTTGCTCAAGTTCAGAGTTTTTTCCTGACTGCTGAGTTTCTACTGTGGCTTTTTGACTTTGCATTTATCTTTCTTTTGTAACCATTTTTCATCAATAAAAAAGAATTGTTTTTCCCACAGTCCAGTGTGGTGGATTTAATCTTATGGTCTCGTTTCCTGTTCTGGGATGCAACACAGCCCGAAAGACAGTTGCATCTGTCAAGTAGGAAATTTAGGAACTGCTTTTGTGGGGAGCCTTATTTAACTAATTTACGATGCCATAAAAATCTCCAGCAGTGTGCAAAAGAATGAGGAAGTACTCAAGGTCACAAGCAGACGGTGAAGCGACAGCTCCCCCGGTGGTCAGAATTCGAGCATACCCTCATGAAGCTGGAATGTTAAATAGCCTCTGTGTGTCTGTCTATATATGTTGTATGTCTATGGCATTGAATTTTTGCCATGTATATGTGCATTGTGATCCGCCCTGAGTCCCCTGCGGGATGAGAAGGGCAGAATATAAATACTGTCAATAAATAAATAAATAAACTCTAGGATTCTGACCCGAACTCTGCAAGATCCCTATTTATCTATTACTATGACTGTTATTCTCTATGCCTTGCACAGGGAGGCGTGGTTGGCATCACCATCAGCTGGGACTGCGACCTGGACTGGCCCATCAAGTACTGCGTCCCCGTTTACCAGTTCCACGGGCTTTACAACGAAGACAACAACATCTCCCCTGGATTCAATTTCAGGTGCGCATTGAGCTTTTCTCAGGTTTTCCCCATCCTTTTATTCTATAGCATTTCCTTCAACGTGAAAGGGATCTTGGATTCTTAATAGACCGCAAGTGGGATGCAGCAGCGGAAAAGACCAATACGATCCGAGGCTTTTTCTGCTGGATTCTCTCTGCCTCCCTTTGCTTTGTCCTGTTTTTCCTGCTCTAGCTGGTGTATTTCAGTGCCTTTCCTGTATGGATTTTGTCCCAAGGCTTCTTTCCCTTTTTGTTTCCGAAAGGCATGCCAGGTATTACCGAGAGAACGGCCGGGACCTGAGGAACCTCTACAAGGTCTTCGGCATCCGCTTTGACATCCTGGTGAACGGAAAGGTCAGGGACTCAACAATCAAAAGTCTATGATATGGATTTTTAACTGAGATTGGAGGGCCATCTGTCAGGAGGGATCCAATTGTGCCTTTATGGCAGACCGTATGGCACTCTTTGGGGTCTCTTCCAAGTCTAGGATTCTATGATTCAATTACTGATTTCTTATTATTTATAGTTCACAGTTGATTCTCCTGGTGGAGAGATAAAGTGAAGTATAAATAAACAAGTAATAATAATAATAATAATAATAATAATAATAATAATAATAATTCCCTTTGACCTAATAATAATGATGATAATAATAATAATAATAGTTCCAAGGAGCCCCCAGTGGCATAGTGGGTTAGATCTTTATGCCAGCAGGATTGCTGACTGACAGGTCAGTGGTTCGAATCTGGAGAGAGAGGGTTGAGCTCCTTCTGTCAGCTCCAGCTCCCACAAAGCCTCCCACAAAGATGGCAAGACATCAAACACCTGGGCAACATCTCCTGGGCAAAGTCTTTGTAGATGGCCAATTCTCTCACACCAGAAGCAACTTGCAGTTACTCAAGTTGCTTCTGACACAATAATAATAATAATAATAATAATAATAATAATAATAACAACAACAACAACAACAACATCCTGTTCTTCCCTTTGTTGTCTCTCCTTTGATCCAGGCTGGGAAATTTGACATTATTCCAACGATGACCACCATTGGTTCTGGGATCGGCATCTTTGGCGTGGTAAGTTGAGGATGGACGGACATCTGTCGGGGGGGATTGAATGGCATCTTCTTGTCTGGCCAAAAGGGGTCCTTGGGGGATCTCTTCCAACTTTAGGATCGTATAACATTTTCCGGAAGAGATTGGAGGGTTTCTTCATTCCTGGAAGAAGGGGGTTGGACTAGGTGGGCCTGGGGGGTCTCTCGGATTCTATACTTTCCAGAAGTTGAAATCCATCAAAACATATTCCAAGCTAAAAACCAGTGTCCCCTGTCTAGATCTTGGTCACCTTCATCTTCAAAAGCCTGTTTGAATAAGAAGGATTTATCCTGCTGCTGAAGGAAGGAAGGAAGGAAGGAAGGAAGGAAGGAAGGAAGGAAGGAAGGAAGGAAGGAAGGAAGGAAGGAAGGACAGCATGGAGGGAGGGAGAGTGGGAGGATACCATTTTGGCTTCCCTGGGAAGAAGGAGAAGGAAGTTCCAGAGTAGAGGGGCGTTTGCCACCAAGAAAGAAGAAAGGCCCACCCTCTTCTCTCTCGTTCCCACCAACCAACCTTGAGATGGAGGTGGGACCAAGAGAAAGAAGAGCCTCTCCTGAAGGGGTCTCAGTGGCTGGGAGGTTCGTACGAGGGGGTGCGGTCCACCAAATCACCTGGACCTGACCCTTCCAGGGCTTTAAAAGACAAGATGGAACTGTCCCCTGGCCCCCTCTCTCTTCACTCTGGCCCAGAGCAGCACAATTGTTGCTGGGGGAAGGGGGTCCTCAACTGATGACATATGCAAGAGACAAGATGGAACTGTCCCCTGGCCCCCTCTCTCTTCACTCTGGCCCAGAGCGGCACAATTGTTGCTGGGGGAAGGGGGTCCTCAACTGATGACATATGCAGGAGACAAGATGGAACTGTCCCCTGGCCCCCTCTCTCTTCACTCTGGCCAGGGGCGGCAGTTGGTGGTGGTGGTGGGGGATCCCCAGCTAATGACATATATGTGTCACCGCACTCCAAAACTCTGGATGACCTCTCCCAGCAGTTTCATGTCTATGTTGAACAGCATGGGGGACAAAACGGAACCCTGAGGAACCCCACAGGTCAGTGGCCGGGGGTTCGAACAAGAGCCCCCCAGCACCACCTTCTGGGTACAGCCCTCCAGAAAGGACAGGATTCACTGTAAGGCTCCCAGCAAGATGGCCCAAAAGGATACCATGGTTGATGGGATCAAAAGCCGCTGAGAAGTCCAGGAGAACCAGCAGGGACTCTCTGCGGAGGTCATCCACCAAGGTGACCAAAGCTGTCTTGAAATTGAAATGGCTCTAGATAATCCATTTTGAGTTCGGGAGGCCACCACACACAGGTTGGACACTGGCGGATCATTGTCCATTATAGAGGGGCTCGGGGATGGCTTTTTAAATATAGGTCTCACATGATGAGATCAAATCGATCGAATCCTACTGTTGGAAGAGACCCCAAACCCCATCAATCGAAGCAACCAAACAACCCTCGGGCGCTCTGCACATGCCCTTAAGACTTGCAGGCGTGGATTCGCTAGGCTCACACTCGCACCCTGTTGTGGCTGAGCTCTTTTCTGACGATGAGGATGATGGGATTCAGATTCCTGCTGGGTTTCAGCTTCCTGGCTCTTTGTCTGTGCCTCAAATCTCTGAGCCTGCTTCTGAGGCTCTCACAGACAGTGCAATGTCAACTCAGCCGTTTTCACCAGAAAGGAATTTTAACGAAGGAGATAGTGAGCCTTCCCACACCGATACCGAAAATGTAGATATTGACTTGACCCGGGAAGCTTGCCTTGATCTCCGGGTTAGGCGGAGTTCGCGTCAGGCAAGCAGACGAGAAGCCAGCTCGGTAAAAGGTCATCGCAATGCTTTTATGATGCTGAGAGTCTAATGGTTTGATGTGAGAAAGGTATTTAGGCCTCTTGGAAACTCTGTGAAAGCGTCAGTTCAACGTAGCCCGAAAGCTTCATGGAATAATCTTAGCCTGGAAAGCAGTACGCTTGGGATTTCTTGTATGGTGATTCATGGGGCAATTGTTTCATTGCTTGTACCTGGGACTCTGGTTTGAACTTTGCCAATAGGCTTATGTCTCCTGTTTTTACCTGAAGATCTTTGGGACTATATTCTGCTTTTAACCTTAATCTTTGGAATTTTGCAATGCGTATTCTTTATTTTGACTTGGATTTTCTCCTCAATAAACTATAAAACTACAGCTCTTGTGTGGTGGTGTTTGGCAGCAAGGTGAAGCTTACTCTGAGTTGCAACACACCCCCTGATTCCCGTCTCTTGCATTTGGCTAGGCCTCCCTCGTTTGCGACGTGGTCCTGCTGAATTTCCTCTCAAACCGGGATTACTACAAACAGAAGAAGTTCAAGTACGCACAACAGGACTCGGTCCCGCCGGTAAGTCAAAGGCTGGCCGTGTCGCATTATTAATTATTATTATTAATAAATGTGATTATTTATTGCAGTATACTCTCAGTTATTATTATTATTATTATTAATTGCAGTACACTCTCAATTATTATTATTAATAATTTATTATTATTATTATTATTGCAGTACACTCTATTATTATTATTAATATTACTATTATTATTGCAGTACATTCTCTATTATTATTATTATTAATTGCAGTACTCTCTATTATTATAATTATTTTATTATTTATTGCAGCACACTATTATTATTATTATTATTATTATTATTATTATTATTATTGAAATACACTCAATTATTATTATTATTATTATTATTATTATTATTATTATTATTATTTATTGCAGTACACTCTCCAGGGTGTTGGTCGGATCAATGTTGTTTCTGGTTGCTTGCGAGTTCCTATCCTAGGTCATACTAGACCACCCCATCAATTCTGCGTTGATGTTAATATCAAAATGCATTGAGACATTTAATTAAAAGCTAACGAAGACAAATAATGCAGTTTTATTCCTGCTAAAAATGGATTTTATTTTTACTTTTACTTGGACTTTTGATTCTTTTTCTCACTGGATGTGTTTTTGCGCCCCGTTTTTAGGAAAAAGAGGACGGAGACGGCTTCTTCATGTCTGACCTGCACGGGAAGGACAAGGGCCTCCCGGGAAACTGTAAGTTGAGGCGAAAAGGCCATGGGTCCAAAGGACAGGACAGGGAAGGAGATGGGATTCCACAAGGACTTTAGCGGTTCAACAGGGGAACGTAGTCCAGCTGGATAGCCATCTGTCAGGAGGGATCGGATGGGGCCTTCCTTCCTTTCTAGCAGAAGCAGGTTGGACTAGATGGTCCTGGGGGGTGGGGTCTCTTTTATCTCTAGGATTCTATGCTACTACTACTACTACTACTACTAAATGAGCCATTAGGAGAGGTGGACAAAAAAACCAAACAATAATATATATAATAATATAATATAATAATATAATAAATAATTATAATATAATATAATATAATAATCTATATAAATAAAAATGTAATGTTCATTTGTGGGATCAACATAACTCAAAAACCACTGAACGAAATAACACAAAATTTGACCTGAAGACACCTAACCTCTTTTTCCGCCACAGGATCCACTCTCCACCCACAAATGCCTTTAGGTGGACCCCACGCCGGAGCAAAACATCGGAGCACAGGATCCACCGAATGGGAGGAACTCCAGAGACCATCCAGTCCCACCTGCTGATGCTTCTGCCACGGAGGAAGAAGACACAACCCGATCCCTCCCGACAGATGGCCATCTACCTGGCTCAAAAACATTACCTGTATGACTCTCCTTCCCTGAAGGCGTGCAGCCTTTCCTCCACACTCGGCTTTCGCTGCCTCCTTTCCTGTTGCCGAAGGGGAAAGATGTCGGGAAATGTTGGAGAAATAATATATTTTATTTTGGGGAAATGAGAGCAAGAGAGCAATAAATCTCTCATTTTGGGTACTACCTCATCTTGCATTGGTCAGTTATTCTCCCAGTAGTAGATGCATGCATGCTCAAGTCTAACAACAACAACAACAACAACAACCACAATAATAGTAATAATAATAGTATAATATCAATATCATAAACTCCATTTTTGGAATATTTTCTTGCACGGAAAGGGAAGAAGGGAAAGGAAGGAAGGCAAGAGAGGGGAATAAAGAAAGGAAGGAAGGAAGGCATTGGGAGGGAGAAAGGGAGACAGCAGAGCAATGCCACCTGGAGTCCTTGGCCCTCCCTTTCCGCCTGCGGCCTGGGTGTACTTTCCCTACAAAGAAGGCCCTGGAGATGCAATAGAGCCGTGGGTCCAAATGATGGCAAAGGCAGTCCGATATAGTTATTAGCAATGCTTCTTAAGGCCCATTCAACCTCACTCCTCAGGACGTCTGGTTCTCATTCACTCACCACACCATCAATACTCTATGGGCCTATGAAATGTAATTGTGGACTGCAGAGGTTGATCACCAAGGCTGGCCATCTTGGTTTGTTTGGTTATAGCCTGGCCAGCGCCTCCTTGTTTAGAGTCCCGAGTCGCTTGATGAGGCCTCGGCAGGAGTGACACGCTGGGTCAGCCCAAGCACACAAGGCAATTACTTGCTGCACCTTTATAGACAGGCCCTCCCCAAGTTACAAACATTCATCTTAACGACTCCTAGTTAAGAACAATGGGCTGAGACCCCAGGAAGGGAGCAGGATCTCTCCCTTGGAAGGGAGGGAGGGAGAGAGGAAAGAAGGAAGGGAAGGAGGAAGGGAGAGAGGGAGGGAGGTGGAAAAGAAGGGAGGAAAGAAGGGAGGGAGGAAAGAAGGGAGGGAGAGAGGGAGAAAGTGAGGGAGGAAGGGAGGGAGGGAGGGAAGAAGGGAGGGAGKGAGGAAGGGAGAGAGKGAGGGAGGAAGGGAGGGAGGGAGGGAAGAAGGGAGGGAGAGAGGAAGGGAGAGAGGGAGGGAGGGAGGGAAGAAGGGCGGAAAGAAGAAGGGAGGAAGGGAGGGAGGAAAGAAGGGAGGGAGGGAAGAAGGAAGGAAGGGAGGGAGGAATGGAGGAAAGTAGGAAGGGAGGGAGGGAGGAAAGAAGGAAGGGAGGGAGGGAGGAATGGAGGAAAGTAGGAAGGGAGGGAGGGAGGGAAGAAGGGCGGAAAGAAGAAGGGAGGAAGGGAGAGAGGGAGGAAGGGAAGAAAGAAGGAAGGGAGGGAGGAAAGAAGGGAGGGAGGGGGAAGGGAGGGAGGAAAGAAGGAAAGGAGGGAGGAAGGAATGGAGGAAAGTAGGAAGGGAGGGAGGAAGGGAGAGAGGGAGGAAGGAAGGGAGGGAGGGAGAAAGGAATGGAGGAAAGTAGGAAGGGAGGGAGGGAGGAAGGAAAGGAGAGAGGGAGGAAAGAAGGAAGGGAGGGAGGCAAGAAAAAAGGGAAGGAGGAAGGGAGGGAGGAAAGAAGGAAGGGAAATCCACTGTGTGAAAAGCTATTACCAAGAGGGAACAAGGAAGCTTTCTCTCCCATCTGTGTTTCCACAATGAGCCACATTTGCCACAATGAAAGGCAATGAAAAGCAATGAAAGACAGAAAGTGTGGTGAAATCTCGAACTGGGGAACAGGCAGCAAAAGAAACAACTCCACAGGGGTCTTTCAAAGCTTGTGTGTTTGTGTGTGTGTATATGTGTATGGCTGCAGTTACACTTAAAAGTCCCTGTTCTGTCTTACATACAAATCCAACTCACGACCAAACCCACAGAACCGCTCTTTTATAACCTTCTGTCTTCAAAGAGCTGCCTATGTGACTTGGGTCATGTCCACAATGCAGGAAGCTCCCCGAACCCCATGCAAATTGTTACACGAGGGTGCCCTAAAACCTGAGTGAGTTAACACAGAAGCATACAGACTGCAGAACCATTCCAATGTGCATGCAAGATGGTTTGTTTTTCCAACAGCTTTGCCTATTTTCCAATGGAACCTTGTGCTCTGAACCAGTTGAGTATGTATTGAATCCGAACAGAACCCTTTCTGCAACACAATGGAAGATTTCTCCGCTCCAACTGTGCTGCTGTGGTAATCTTCTCTGAAAGAACACGCCAAGACACACATAGGATGAAGACACTATACGTGTTTATTGTTCGGAATGCACTACAGCCTGTCTCTATAGGCCTGGCTTCAATATCATAAATCATGCACGGAGCTTGCCCCTTTCCACATCCCAGAGCCCATTCCCCCCCACCCCACCTCGGGGCAATTTTGACAATGGAAACGGCCAAAGCGGGATCGAACCACACTGGCTGTGAGAGCTGTGACTGTGAGAGCTGTTCAGCAGTGGAATTCTCTGCCCCAGAGTGTGGTGGAGGCTCCTTTTTTGGAGGCTTTTAAACAGAGGCTGGATGGCCACCTGTTGGGGGTGCTTTGATTGCGATTTTTCTTCTTCTTGGCAGAAAGGGGTTGGGCTGGATGGCCCATGAGGTCTCTTCCAACTCTAGGATTCTATGGTCTCGCAGCGGAGGTGGATGCTCTTCGGCAGAGGTGTGCCTCACAGCTTCTGGCCCGGCTGGTCATAGATGTGGTGTGTGGTGTAGCGCGTGATGGTGGCCGATTCCCGGAGGGTGACCACGCCGTCCTTGCTGCAGGCGTCAGTGCTGCATGGAAGAAAGGAAGGAAGGAAGGAAGGAAGGAAGGAAGGAAGGAAGGAAGGAGGGAAGAGGAAGTGGAGAACAGGTCAGCACTGGGAGGCTGCAGAGAAGACCCACTCTGGAACTAAGCTCTGGCAGGATGCCCAAAATGGAGGCCCTCCTTCAGGAATAAGCCCTAGTTACAGTTCCTTGAAAAGCCAAAGGATTTGTGAGGATGCTCAAAATATAAGACTCTCCTTCAAGAATAAGCCGGGCTGTAGCACAGCTGGTTAATCGCCAGCAGCAATAGATCCCTGCCCGCTACAGCCCACTTATTCTTGAAGGAGGGTCTTATATTTTGAGCATATAAGACCCTCCTTCAAGAATAACCAGCTGTGCCACAGCCCAGCTTATTCTTGAATGGGGGTCTTATAATTTGAGTATGTAAGACCTGGCTTCAAGAATAACCAGCTGTGCTACAGCCCAGCTTATTCTTGAAAGAAAGTCTTATATTTTGAGCATATAAGAGCCTCCTTCAATAATAACCAGCTGTGCAACAGCCCGGCTTATTCTTGAAGGGGAGTCTTATATTTTGAGCATATAAGACCCTCTTTCAAGAATAACCATCTGTGCTACAGCCCGGATTATTCTTGAAGCGGGGGGTGTGTGTGTCTTATATTTTGAGCATATAAGACCCTCCTTCAATAATAACCAGCTGTGCTACAGTCCGGCTTATTCTTGAACGGGAGTCTTATATTTTGAGCATATAAGACCTTCCTTCAAGAATAACCAGCTGTGCTACAGCCCGTATTATTCTTGAAGGGGAGTCTTATATTTTGAGCATATAAGACCCTCTTTCAAGAATAACCATCTGTGCTACAGCCCAGATTATTCTTGAAGGAAGGTCTTATATTTTGAGCATATAAGACCCTCAATAAGCCGGGCTGTAGCACAGCTGGTTATTCTTGAAGGAGGGTCTTAAATGCTCAAAAAACCCGATAAGAACAAAGAAGAAATACAATCAAATGACACGGCATCCTAGTGGATGAAGCGACAGCACCTCCCTGTGGCCGTAATCGAGCGTAACCTCCAGGCACCACAGTTGGAAAATGCCAAAATACCTCGGACATCAGAGCAGCTTCCTCCCTATTAGATTTTAGGAAAAGAGTCAAAACACGACCTCCCCTGAAAATAAGCCCTATTGTATCTGAATCTAAGGCCCTGCCTCCTTTTCGGGGAAACGGGGTGACGATAATGTGAGAGTGCCTTCTCTCAAGGCATTTCCTGGGTCCTCCACCAGCCCTATGCTTTGGAGAGCTTCATTCCACCACAAAGGGAGCTGGAGGATTGACCGGGAAGCCCTAGCGAGGCCACTGTCCATTTGGCATTCCCTTGCACGGGTCTATGGCATGCTCCCTCTGGCAGTGCTTCCTTTCAATCAGGTTTTGCTATCTACTTATCCTGGGCACCACGCTTCCACGCCTCACTTGGGCCCCAAACGTACTATTTGTAGATCAGGGCAGCAATCAGGGCGGCCAGCAAGATGGCGAAGAGGATGGAGAGGATGGAGGCGATGGCGATGGTCGAGTCGCTCCTCCGTCCCGGAGACACGTCGATGGTTTCCGGGCTCCGTGCTGCCGAGCAAAAGCAGACAATCGTTGTTGTTGTTGTTGTTATGGGTATTCACACCCTGCTTTTTCCCTCCAGAAGGAGACGCAAAGGCTTGACTCTTCCAAGCAGTGAACAAATACCCACCTGCAAGGAAGACCCCTCCAAGAATCCCTAGGCCGGCCAATGCGGTTCTATGGGCAGCTTCCAATGGAAGTTGGCTGCCAAGCTGCACCGCAGGACCGGGAAAGGTCCAGAGAGGTGTTTCTAGAGAAGACATAACCCTTCACCAGGAAACCCTAGCCCGGTGGTTCTCAACGTTCCTAATGCCGCGACCCCTTAATACAGTTCCTCATGTTGTGGAGACCCCCAGCCATTAAATTATTTTCATTGCTACTTCATAATTGTAATTTTGCTATAAGGACCACCAAACGCAGCATTGCCCAGACACGCATCAAGGAACATGAAAGGCACTGCAGACTACTTCAACCAGAGAAGTCAGCCATAGCAGAGCACCTGATGAACCAGCCTGGACACAGCATATTATTTGAGAACACATAAATGCTGGACCACACCAACAACCACCATGTCAGACTACACAGAGAAGCCATTGAAATCCACAAGCATGTGGACAATTTCAACAGAAAGGAAGAGACCATGAAAATGAACAAAATCTGGCTACCAGTATTAAAAAACTCTAAAATTACAACAGCAAAACAACAGAGAGGAAACAACCAGGCACATCTTAACACCTCCCAGCAAGAGATTTTCCCAGGCTCAGGCAGGCCTTCAAATGCTAATGAAGGTGATCAGTTGAAACATTCACACCTAGCTCCAGCAGGGAAGAGCTCCTTGCCCCACCCCAGCCATTCCACAGATATATAAACCCATTGTCCTAATTCCAACAGACCTCACTACCTCTGAGGATGCTTGCCATAGATGCAGGCGAAACGTCAGGAGAAATGCCTCTAGAACATGGCCCTATAGCCCGAAAAAAACCCACAAGAACCTAATTTTGCTACTGTTATGAATCGTTATGTAAACATCTGATATGCAGGATATATTCTCATTCACTGGACCAAATTTGGCACAAATCCCCAATATGCCCAAATTTGAATACTGGTGGGGTTGGGATGGGAGGATTGATTTTGTCATTTGGGAGTTGTTGTTGCTGGGATTTATAGTTCACCTACATTCAAAGAGCATTCTGAACTACGCCAACAATGAAATTGGACCAAACCTGGCACACAGAACTCCCACGACCAACGGAAAATACTGGAAGGGTTTGGTGGGCATTGACCTTGAGTTTGGGAGTTGTAGTTTGCCTACATCCAGAGAGCACTGTGGATTCAAACAATGATGGATCTGGATCAAACTTGGCATGAATATTCAATATGCCCAAATGTGAACACTGGTGAAGTTCAAGGAAAATAGACCTTGACATTTGGGAGTTGTAGTTGCTGGGATTTATAGTTCACCTACAACCAAAGAGCATTCAGAAGCTCACCAACGATAGAATTAGACCAAACTTCCCACACAGACCAACAGAAAATACTGTCTGTGATGTTCTTTGGCGACCCCTCTGACACCCTCTCGCGACCCCTCCAGGGGTCCCGACCCCCAGATTGAGAACCACTGCCCTAGCCATTCAGGAGGGACAGCTGCCCACATAGATAGGCCTCCTCTACGCCGGTTCCAGTGCTGGATCGCGTCCCTTGGGCCATTCCCATTATTACCTTGGACCAGGGTGATGTCCTCCGACCACGCTGACTCCGCCGTCACCCCGTCGGGATTCACGGCCAGAAACTTGACCCTAAGCAGAGAGAGGCATCACCAACACAGTTACGTGCTGTCAGTGCGGATCCCAGACCTGCAGCTGCCCTGACTCCAGGCACTACTATTCCACAAGCGCTATTCCACGAGCGGCCACTTCAATAAGGTTCACTGTGATCCACGGTTTTAACATTTCCACAGTTTCCTGCTTATATGCCGGTTGTACTAAAGTACAATCTAATCACACGCGCACATATACATACATACTCACACACACACACATGCATATGCACACATATGTACACACATAGACATATAAAACACACACAGATATTCACGCATACACACACATGCACACATACAGATAACTCATATATACACACATACATACATACATACATACACACACATGTACACATACACACATATATAGGCACTTATACGTACATACATACACAAAGAAATACACACACAGATATACACACCCATATATGTGCACACACATATGCACACATATTTGCACATATACAGACACACATATATACACACATACACGCACATGCACATATATATACACACATAGACATATAAATAAACACAGATATACACACGTACAAACATATGCACACATACAGACACACTCATGTATACACACATACACATATATAAACACACAGATATATGCACCCATATATGCGCACACATATATGCACACATACAGACACACTCATATATACACACATACACGCACATGCACATATATATACACACATACATATAAATACACACAGATATACACACATACAAACATATGCACACATACAGACACACTCATATATACACACATACACATATATAAACACATATATACACATACACATATATACAAACATACATATATATACATATACACACATATATACAAGCATACATATATACGCACACATACATATATACGCACACCCATATATGCACATATACAGACACACTCATATATACACACATACACGCACATGCACATATATATACACACATACATATAAATACACACAGATATACACACATACAAACATATGCACACATACAGACACACTCATATATACACACATACACATATATAAACACATATATACACACACACATATATATACAAACATACATATATATACAAACATACATATATATACAGCTTCAGAAGTGCGGCTGGCGGGAACGAGAGATAGGGCCTTCTCTGTGGTGGCCCCTCGGCTTTGGAACGCCCTCCCTATAGAGGTACGATCAGCCTCGTCGCTGATGGTGTTTAGGAAGAGACTTAAAACATGGCTATTCAAACAAGCATTCGGCTAATCTGTGGCAATTAAATCGAATCTTGGTGACTATGGACAGGAAATATGGACAACGAACTCTGGATTGTGATTTTAACTTGAGATATATGGGATTATTATTGGTGGCCCAATAATTTGTTATTGTATTTGTATATGTTTTTTAAACTGAGATTGTTTTTAAAATGCTGTAAACCGCAATTGAGTCGCCGTTCTAGGCTGAGAAATTAGCGGTATACAAGTGTACCAAATAAATAAATAAATAAATAAATACATATACACACATATATACAAGCATACATATATACACACACACACACACACACATATATATAAATATATACACAATACAAATACATATATATACAAACATATATACAGTATATACACACACACATACACACACGCATATATATAGACATATATGCACACACACACATATATATGTTAAGTGTGTTAGTTTTTAGCACAAAGGCCTGATGGATCTGAACGAAACTTGGCACACAGGCCCTTCATGACCCAACTGAAAGTAAACATGGGGTTCGAATACAAAGGCGGCCCCCAAAGTGTGCTAGAGGCTCCTTCTTTGGATGGGACTTGATCTGCACATCTACAGTGGATGGACTAGATGGCCCCTGAGATCCCTTCCAAGGTGTGGCTCATGTTACACCCCCCCCCCCCCCCCCCCCGGGTTCAGTCACGCCACTTCAGTTGGGACTGCTACCCCATTTCCCTAAACATAAGGCAGGGTCTTATATCCCTTTCTACTCCCAAAGGTGTGTTAGGCCTTATTTTCGGGGTGGGTCTTCTTTTGGGGGGGGGCAGTAGGGCCATGGAGTCCAAGAGCAATTCAGACAATCAAGGGAGACTCCTTACCGGTAGGGTCCCGGTCCAGGGAGGGGCCCGTTGCAGTCTGGCCGTGCAGGGTCGGAGATGCACTGGACCTCGTTGCCCACCCGCAGGACGGTCAGCTGCCCGCCTGCTCCTGTGGCTGGATCCGGGCACGGATAGCCGTCTAGGGCTGTGCTCAGTGTCATGTAAAAGCCGTTCTTCTCCAAGGACTGGAAAGGCAACTCGCTCGGGGAACGGGGCCGGGTGAAGTTGCTGACGGCTGCGGAGGAAGCAGGGCAAGGTCACGCTCTGTCCCAGAGGCCACAAAAGGATCTGAACAACGAGATGCCCTTCTGGCATAATATAAACAAGAGGTTGGAGGGCCACAGTGGCGCAGCGAGTTAAACAACTGAGCTGCTGCTAAACTTGCTGAATGAAAAGTCGGCGGTTCGAATCCAGGGAGCGGGGTGAGCATGTTTTCGAACTGCTTCTGTCAACCTAGCAGTTCGAAAACATGCAAAAAAGTGAGTAGATCAATAGGTACCGCTCCACCAGGAAGGTAATGGTGCTCCATGCAGTCATGCTGGTCACATGACCTTGGAGGCGTCTATGGACAACGCCGGCTCTTTGGCTTAGAAATGTAGATGAGCACCAGACGGACACGAGTCGGACACGACTGGACTTCATGTCAGGGGAAAACCTTTACCTTTACTTAATAGTAGGATACTATAATCCAGGGGTCGGGAACCTTTGGCCCTCCAGCTGTGGTGGACTTCAACTCCCACAATTCCTTGAGGCTCGGCATTCGCCCCAAAGGCTTACCTTGGCCCAACGAGGTTTGTTTGGCTCTTTTTCATGGAGGACGGGCAGCAAAGGGGGAGAGACGAGCGTAACGTAGCTGTGCAGATGGCGAGGAAGGATGCGGAGCCCACAGACTGGCCTCGGAGGGAGAGAGCGGGCGGAAACCCCTGCGGGCAACGCGCCTCCTCGCCGCTTAAACAGCGCAGAGCCCTTTCCCTCCAGCCTTCGCCTTCCCTTTTCCCCGACAAGCTCTGCACGACGTCACTCAGCCGGCGTCGTTGCTAGGGAGGGGGTCCATGCGGGGCGGGTGCTAAGGGCCGAAGCGGCGAGGAAGCGCGTTGCCCGCAGGGGTTTCCGCCCGCTCTCTCCCTCCGAGGCCAGTCTGTGGGCTCCGCATCCTTCCTCGCCATCTGCACAGCTACGTTACGCTCGTCTCTCCCCCTTTGCTGCCCGTCCTCCATGAAAAAGAGCGAAACAAACCTTGTTGGGCCAAGGTAAGCCTTTGGGGCGAATGCCGAGCCTCAAGGAATTGTGGGAGTTGAAGTCCACCACAGCTGGAGGGCCAAAGGTTCCCGACCCCTGATCTAAACTAAGCATGGGCAAAATTTGGCCTCTATAGGTCATGAAAGGACAATAGACTGGGCATCCTTTTGCAGGCCGGAGTCTCGGACTCAGGATTCCCCAAGGCATGAAATCCATTAATCCAGGGGTCCCCAAACTTTTTGAATAGAGGGCCGGGGTCACAGTCCCGCAAACTGTTGGAGGGCCAGATTATAATTTGAAAAAAATAAATGAATGAATTCCTATGCACACTGCACATATATTATTTGCAGTGCAATCCCACACCCCCCCCCCCAAAATTCAAAAAACAAAAACCCACACTTCTATATAAATAAAAATGTAATGTTCATTCGTGGGATTAAAAGAACTCACAAACCACTGGACGAATTGACACCAATTTTGGACACAAGACACCTAACAACCCAATGTATGTCCTTCACACAAAAAATTGATTTTGTCATTTGGGAGTTGTAGTTGCTGGGATTTATAGTACAACTACAATCACAGAGCATTTTGAACCCCACCAACGATGGAATTGAACCAAACTTGGCACACATTTCTCCCATGACAAACTGAAAATACTGGAAGGGTTTAGTGGGCAGTGTCCTTTTGTTTGGGAGTTGTAGTTCACCTACATTCAAATCTGAATCAAACTTGGCACAAATACTCAATATGCCCAAATTTGAACACTGGTGGAGTTTGGGGAAAATAGAATCTTGACATTGGGGAGTTGTAGTTGCTGGGATGTATAGTTCACCTACAATCAAAGAGCATTCTGAACCCCATCAATGATGGAATTGAACCAAACTTGGCACACAGAACTCACATGACCAACAGAAAATACTGAAAGGGTTTGGTGGGCAGTGTCCTTTGGTTTTGGAGTTGTAGTTCACATGCCTCCATAAATCACTGTGGACTCAATGATAGATCTGGACCAAACTTGGCACTGATACTGAATATGTCCAAATGTGAACACTGGTGGCGTTTGGGGGTTGCATTTGCTGGGATTTATAGTTCAATCAAAGAGCATTCTGAACACCACCAATGATGGAATTGAACCAGTCTTGGTACACAGAACTCCCATGAACAACAGAAAATACTGGGTTTAGTGGGCATTGACCTTGAGTTTTGGAGTTGTAGTTCACCTGCCTTCACCACGCCGGCGTTCCCTGGCCACGCCCACCCTGCGCCGCTCCGTCAATTGCAGACACCCTCTGCTCCGGCCGTTCTGCTGTGCAGAGGACCCACCTGAGAGGCTTCTCCCTCCCACACAGGCAGAGCGGCCGGAACAGAGGGTGTCCGCAATTGGCGGAGCGGCGCCAGGTGGGCGTGGCCAGGCCAGGCCGTGTGGGCCGGAGAAATGCCCTCGGCGGGCCGCATATGGCCCACGGGCCGTAGTTTGAGGACCCCTGCATTAATCCATTCATGAACCCATTGTTTCTTCCTCGTCCCGCCTCCCTTCTCCTGATTCGCTAGGGAGCTGAGGCGGTAAGAGCTCTCTCATTGGTTCCTGAGCAGCGGAGAAGCTCTGTGATTGGCTCGGACGCAGGGCGGGCAACCAGGCCCCCTCCCAGCTGTTATCACATCAGCCAAACACCTGCAAGCCGGGCGGAGGGCGGGAATTTTGAAACTTCTAAGCCTGTAAACCCTATAAAACTGTCTCTGATCTTTGTAATGGTATACTCTGTAGGCGAATGATTGCTACATTGCATCCTTTTCAGCTGAATCGCTAATAAAAACACCTCGGTGCCGCTTCTTCAACTTTGGCGAGATTTATTTTGAATTATTTTAATTTAATAAAATTGCTGACATCTCTAGCTCGCCAAAGTAGCAACCCCTCTTTTGTTAGGACTCAGGGTCCCTCCTCCTGGGGACGACCCTCCTAAAGTTCCTATCGACTTCGGGGGGCGGGGGGAGTTGGTCCATGCCTGCTCTAAACGATGGGATGCCCATTCAGCATCATGTAAACCATCGGGTGACGTAATCTAAACGATGGGATGCCCATTCAACATCACCTAAACAAGTTGATACCCATTCGGCATAATGAAAATGATGGGATACCATAATCTAAATGATGAAATACCCATTCGGCATCATGTAAACAATGGAATGCCCATTCAGCATCATGTAAACAATAGGAGGCCATAATCTAGACAATGGAATGCCCATTCAGTACCATTATTTTTGAAGTACAGGTTATATTTTGATCATCCTCAGAAAAACCACGCTCAGGCTTATTATTATTATTATTATTAATAATAATAATAATAATAATAATAATAATAATAATTTATTTACAGTGTTTATATTCCGCCCTTCTCACCCCGCAGGGGACTCAGGGCAGATTACAATGTACACATATATGGCAAACATTCAATGCCAAAGACACACAACACATACAGACAGACAGTTGTGGGCAGGTCACGTACCATTGCTGCGGGCGACCACCAGCCAGATCCTATCCGTGTCATTGACAACGTCATTGAAAACGCAGCGCGGCTGGTCCAGGGTGAAGGTGGAGGCGGTGAGCTTACCTCCCAGATTCTCAGAAGCCAAGTGCGGGGTGTAAGCCAAAGACACTGGAGAAAAGGCAAAAGCCCAACAGAATTCATAGACCCACATAGACACACAAATTGGGGCATACACACATAAATACACATATAGACATGTACAGATCCTGTTCGCATGGACTGTTCCAAGCCAGGTCTGCTTCGTAACCTCGTTGGATACAGAATCATAGAATAATAGAGTTGGGGGAGAGTGCATGGGACATCTAGTCCAACCCCATTATGCCAGGCAGGGAAAACACCATCAAAGCTCTCCTGAGAGATGGCCACTAGACATGTGCAATCCATGGTTCTAAATGGTTCTAAGGTACTTACAATAGTTCTTGTGGTAAAAACTAGGGGGCGCTGGTGCTTCGCTTCTACAGTGTTGCTAAAGTTCTGGTGGTGAAAATTTCAGAACTTTAACAAAACTTTCAAAATTTCATTATAAATGGCAGTTCCTAATTGGTTCTGTCATAAAAATCATCAATAATGAAATTTTGAAAGTTTTGTTAGAGTTCCGAAATTTTCACCACCAGAACTTTAGCAACACTGTAGAAGCAAAGCACCAGTGCCCCCTAGTTTTCACTACCAGAATTTTAGTTTTGTAAGTACTTTAGAACCATGGATTGCACATGCCTAATGGCCACCCAACCTCTGTTTCAAAACCCCCAAGGAAGGAGCTTCCACCAGACTCCGAGGCAGAGAGTTCCACTGCTGAACAGCTCTTCTTCTTGAAATGAATTGTGTTAGTTTTAACCATTCGGCTCCCTAATCTCCTTCCTGCCATTTGAACCCATGGCTCCATTGAGTCTGAGTGTCCTGCTTCCTCTTTCTCGTGACACCCTTCCCCATATGTCTATATGGCTTTTCTCATGCTTCCTCTCCGCCTTCTCTTCTGAGGCTAGACAGGCCCAGTTCTTTGAGGCGCTCCTCCTTAGAGGGATTCTCCGTGGCCTCCAGACCTTGGATCCATTGAGTCACCTTCTTCCTCTAGACTCTTTCCAGCTTAGAGTCCATCTCTCTCTTGAAGTGCTGGGCTAGAATGGGACACGGTGTGGTTCCAGGTAAAGAGGCCTGACCAAAGCCGAACAGAGAAGCACCAAGACTTCCCTTGATCTGGACACTTGATTCCAAGCTAGAATGTGGCAATTGAAATGATCAAGGGTCTGGAGAACAAGCCCTATGAGGAGCGGCTTAAAGAGCTGGGCATGTTTAGCCTGCAGAAGAGAAGGCTGAGAGGAGACATGATAGCCATGTATAAATATGTGAGAGGAAGTCATAAAGAGCTTGTTTTCTGCTGCCCTGGAGACTAGGACTCAATGGAGCAATGATTTCAAACTACAAGAAAGAAAGGAGATTCCATCTGAACATTAGGAAGACCTTCCTGACTGTGAGAGTTGTTCAGCAGTGGAACTCTCTGCCCCAGAGTGTGGTGGAGGCTTTGAAGCAGAGGATGGAATCTCTCGCCCTCCCCAAAGTGTTGTGTTTCCTCACCATCCATTTCTGGTGAGAGACCTTGACATCGATGGCGCAACTCCAGGCAGAGAAAGATGCTCAGAACGATGCCTGGTCCTCTTTCTCTTTCTCAATGACACATCTTTCCAAGCGTTCTCCACCTTTGGCATGACCTCCCCATAGCCTTGCCCTGTCATAGGGAGGAGGGAGTCATGGGGAGGTCATAGGAAGTCATAAGTCATTGCCCTGAGATTAGGACACATAACAATGGCTTCAAACGACAAGAAAGGAGATTCCACTGAACATTAGGAAGAACCTGATTGTGAGAGCTGTTCAGCAGTGGAATTCTCTGCCCCGGGAGTGTGGTGGAGGCTTCTTCTTTGGAGGCTTTTAAACAGAGGCTGGATGGCCATCTGTCAGGGGTGCTTTGAACACGATTGTCCTGCTTCTTGGCAGAATGGGGTTGGACTGGATGGCCCACCATGCCCCTTCCAATTCCGGGATTCTGATTCTATGATTCTACATCCAGACATCTCAGGTGTCTGGCTGGGAATCAGAAGAGGTGGACAAGGCTAGCAGGGCCATCCAACCCAACCCCAACCTCACTACAAGTCAAGCTGCACCCCTTCTACAGTATAGATGCCCCTCTGGATTCCACCAAAAGCAAAGATGTACGTACCTGTCTCAGCTCCGGCCTTGAGCGCCAGGCCCAGCAAGAGGAGTACGGAGAGCCCCATCATCCCTGCCGCCCGCGTTGCCTGCGTCCCGTCAGAATGAGGTGCGGAAGCCTCTCCCCGCCAATGCCTCGGGGCCTCACCCATTTTCTGGACACCTGTTCATCCTTTCTTCCCCTCCCTCCCTTTCCCATTTCCCTCCACCCTCTATTGAGGGGCAAAGTGGAGAACAGGTCTGGCCCGTTTGGGGATCAGTGGAGCGTGAGCCAGGGCACCCGAGGCAGGGCGGGAGCCAGAAAAGGCATGCCTGGGGTGGCATTCCTGCGGTGATGCTTTGGTACCTTCCAAGTCTAGGATGAGGAGGATGATTATGATATTATTATTATTATTATTATTATTATTATTATTATTATTGCCAGTCAAGGTGGTCCCAGTGGTGATTGGCATACTGGGTGCAGCGCCTAAAGACCTTGGCTTGCACTTAAATACAATCGGCGCTGACAAAATTACCATCTGCTGGCTGCAGAAGGCCACCTTATTTGGGAAGTGTCCGACATGTGATCCAATACAACAGCCAGCAGAGTGTCTGCTGTGGACTCATCTTGTGTTTCAAATAATAATAATAATAATAATAATAATAATAATAATACAGTAATTCTATCTTCCTGCCTGATAGAAGGGGTCGGACTGGGTGATCTTTGGGGGTCCATCTATGATTCGACGAAATGGATTTTTAATTGTGTCTGCATGGCTATCTGTCGGGAGGGATCGGATTGTGTTGAACGGGATGGCCATTGGAGTCCCTTCCAACTCTAGGATGATAATGATAATGATAATATAGTAATTCTATCTTCCTTTATAGCAGAAGGGGGTCAGACTGGGTGGCCTTTAGGGGTCCCATTTATGTTTCTACGATATGGCTTTTTAGCTGAGTCTGGGTGGCCATCTGTCGGGAGGGATCAAATGGTACTTTTCCTGCCTAGCAGAAGGGGTCTGGCAGAAGAGGGTTGAACTAGATGGCCTTTAGATGGGTCTCTTCCAATTCTAGGATGATAATGTAATTATATCTTCCTCTCTGGCAGAAGGAGGTCGGACTGGGTGGCCTTTGGGGTACCATCCAACTCTAGGATGATGGTGATGATGTTCTTCTTCTTCATCATCATCATCACCATCATAGAATCATAGAATCCTGGAAGAGTTGGAAGAGACCATCTCTTTGAACAATTTCAGCAAGGGATCCCGTCAGGTCCGCTGGCTTTGTACCAGACACTATGCTTGGAAGGCAATCACATTCAGCTACAATGGTGACGAGTCTCCAATGGCTCTGCAAACCTGGGTTTGAACCTTCATTTGGCCATTTTGGTCCAGTCACACACTCTCAGCCTCGGAAAAAGGAAGGGCAATTGGCTCGAATGCTGTTTTTACATATGTGTGTGTGTGTGTTATTTCTTCTTCCTCCTTCCTGCTCGCGTTTCCTGTCATAGAATCATAGAGTTGGAAGAGACCTCATGGGCCATCCAGTCTAACACCATTCTGCCAAGAAGCGGGAAAATTGAATTCAAAGCACCCCCGGCAGATGGCCATCAAGCCTCTGTTTCAAAGCCTCCAAAGAAGGAGCCTCCACCATACTCTGGGGCAGAGAGTTCCACTGCTGAACAGCTGTGGCTATTGGACTCATGCGGCTATTGAACTTGTACAGTTACTGAACTCCTGCAGCTAATGCAGGTGGACAGGCTTCTCCCCACCTTGGATTCTTCCCTTAGTCACCACGGTGGGCACTCCCTTGGTGCTGCAGCCGCACCCAGAAAGAAAAGGCTCCTTCCTCTCTGGCTCTGGCCCACCGAAACCGCAGCCACACCCAGCCTTGTGCGCGCCTTGCCGCAGGCACACTATCAAGGCGGCCCTCTTGGCAGAGGAAACCCCAAAGGGAGGCTTGCAGAGAAAGAACAAATCCCTTTCAGACAAGTCTGGGTTTGCAAAGCAAAGCAAGGGGTGGCCCAGACCCTCACTTATCGCGGGGGTTACATTCTAGGACTACCCATGATAAGTGAAAATCCGTGAAGTAGGGACGCTATATATATGCATATACATATACATATATATAGCATCCCTACTTTGCAGATTTTCACTTATCGCCGGTGGTCCTGGAACGTAACCCCTGTGATATATATATATATATATATATATATATATATATATATATATGAAATGCCTTGCCCAACTTACCGGGCAATGACCGTTGCGGTGGGGGACACCCTCCTGCCAGCTCAGCCAGGGGCATGCCACCAGTTGGCCAAGCGGCAAGAGATGTAACCCCCGCGATAAGTGAGGGAACACTGTATAGGGGGCTGAAAAAACCTCCCTCAGCTTATATTCAAGTCAAGGGACAATGGAGCCTGGAGGTGAGGCTCCAAAGCCGGCTGGCTTCCACCTCCATGGAGCGGGCTGGGGGAGGACGATAAGTAATATTTATTTATTTCCTCCTTCTCCTTCTGAGGTGACAGGCAGATGTAGTAAGCAACAGCTAGGAGACAGCTAGGTGTTTTTAAAGTCTCTTCCTCAGTCCCCTTCCTCCTCTTAGCTAGCTTGGGAGAGTGAGAGCAGCAGGATTTCCTCCTTCTCCTCCTGAGGTGGCAGGCAGATGTAGTAAGCAATGGCCAGGAGACAGGTGTTTATAAAGTCTCCTCCTCAGTCCCCTTCTTCCTTAGCTGGCTTGGGGGGGGGGGGGGGGAGAAGCAGCAGGATTTCCTCCTTCTCCTTCTGAGGTGGCAGGTAGATGTAGTAAGCAACAGCCAGGAGACAGGTGTTTTTAAAGTATCTTCCTCAGTCCCCTTCCTCCTCTTAGCTGGCTTGGGAGTGGGGGAGTAGCAGCAGGATTTCCTCCTTCTCCTCCTGAGGTGGCAGGCAGATGTAGTAAGCAACAGCCAGGAGACAGGTGTTTATAAAGTCTCCTCCTCAGTCCCCTTCCTCCTCTTAGCTAGCTTGGGAGAGTGAGAGCAGCAGGATTTCCTCCTTCTCCTCCTGAGGTGGCAGGCAGATGTAGTAAGCAACAGCCAGGAGACAGGTGTCTTTAAAGTCTTTTCCCCAGTCCCCTTCCTCCTCTTAGCCGGCTTAGGAGGGGAGAAGAAGCAGCAGGATTTCCTCCTTCTCCTCCTGAGGTGGCAGGCAGATGTAGTAAGCAACAGCTAGGAGACAGGTGTTTTTAAAGTCTCTTCCTCAGTCCCCTTCCTCCTCTTAGCTGGCTTGGGGTGGGGAGAAGCAGCAGGATTTCCTCCTTCTCCTCCCGAGGTGGCAGGCAGATGTAGTATTGCTGCTGGGGAGACGGGCTCCCAGCTGATGACCCAGGAAACATGGTGGAAATCTGTCTTCCTGGCTGCCCCTCTTCACTCTGGCTTCAGGCAAAGCTCCACTGCCATCACAGGCCACTACTCTTCATCCTCCTCCAAGGTTGGCTGATCGTGGAGGAAGAGAAAGGGGAGGATGAGCAGTGGTGGGAGCGGAGCTCCTAGGCATGGAAGAGGAGGAGAAGGAGGCCTTCTTCCTCCTCCAACTCCTTTCTTTCCTTTCTCCTCCCCCATTTCTGTAGATCCTTCATCAACTCCTTCATTTCTTTCTATCTGCTCACACCTTCACACTTACACACACGCACACTCCTATTAACATCCAGACCGGGAGGCACGTGCTTCCTTCCTTTCCTTCCCTCCTTCCTTTCCTTCTTTTCCTCCTTCTCTCCCTCCCCTTCCAGGCTTTCTTTTCTCCTTTCCCTTCTTCCCCTCCTTTCCTCCTTCTTTCCTTCCTCCCTTTATTTCCTTCTCTCCCTTCCCTCCTTCCTTCCTTTCCTTCTTTCCCTCCCTCTCTCCCTCCCCTTTCTGCCTTTCTTTTCTCCTTTACCTTCCTCCCCTCCTTTCCTCCTTCTTTCCTTCCTCCCTTTATTTCCTTCCCTTCTCTCCTTCCTTCTCATTCCTTTCTTTTCCCCTTCCCTCCTTTCCTCCCTTCACTTCCTTCCTTTCCTCCCTCCCTTACTTTCCCTCCTTTCTTCCCTTCATTTCTTTCTTTCCTTCCTTTCTCCCTTTCTTCCCTTCCTTCGATCTTTCCCCCTTCCCTTCCCTCCCTTCCATCCATCTTCCTTTCCTTCCTTCCTTCCACTCCCTCCCTCCCTTTCTTCCTTTCCTTCTTTTCTTCCCATCCGATATATGAATTATATGTTGACATTATAATTCAGATCCATGCAGGGGGTTGGACTGCATGGCCCTTGGAGACCCTTCCAACTCTAGGATTCCATGAGTCTGTGAATCTAGCTTGCTAGTTGCACCCTTTACAATGGTTCTTTCCTCCCAACCTGGACATCATTCCACAGGTATAGGTTATACTCCGCTTGCTTGGCTCCCAACAGATCCTCTGACAATGTCAAGAGCCACAAGTGCAGGCAGAATGGGGGAAAAGGGAGCAAATGAATGCCACCCGGACACAGGAGGTCTCCTCCTCTTCCTCCTCTGCTGCTGCCTTCCCCCCCACTGTGACATCACCTGGCTTCATGGGCCACCTTCCCTTCCTTGGCAGTAGGGATGATGGCAGTCCCTTGCCTCGGTGGCCCATTCCTTTCCTCCTAAAGGCCTCCATTGCCTTCGGGCCTCTCCTTCTGCCACCATGATCAGAGGTAATCAATAAACATAAACATAATAATAATAAACACAACAACAACAACAACAGATACATCACACAGTCCTAGATGCTTGGGAAGTGTTCGACTTGTGATTTTGTGATACGAAATCCAGCATATAGATCTTGTTTGCTGTGACATACTGTGCTTTTGTGTCAATAATAATAATAATAATAATAATAATAATAATAATAATAATAATAGATAAATAGGTAGATAGGTAGATAGATAGATAGATAGATAGATAAATAGATAGATAGATACATGGCCACCTTGAGTCTCCTTGTGGAGGGAAGAGCATGGTATAAATAAACATAAGAATAAACATAATAATAATAGAATAATGGAGTCTTAAGAGCTGAAAGAGACTTCCAAAGGCCATCCAGTCCAACCCCCTTCTTCCAGGAAGAAAGATAAGAGTTATCATCACCACCATCCTAGAAATGGATCCCAAGGGCGATGCAGTCTACCCCCCCCTTCTGCCTTTAAAGACACCATTCGATCCCTCCCAACAGAAGGTCATCCAGCCATGGATATGATAAATACACTATGTTCTATACTATATCTATCATTAGATCCTAGTATTGGAAGAGACCCCTCCAAGGGCATCCAGCCCAACCCCCTTCTGCCACGCAGGAAGATAGAGTTACTGTATTATTATTATTGTTGTTGTTATTATTATTACCATCATCATCCTAAAGATAAAAAGGATCCCAAGGGCCATCCAGTCCCACCTACTTCTTTCTGCAGGAAGGAAGACACCACCTGATCCCTCCTGGCAGAGGGCCATCCAGCCACAGATATGATAGATAGATATATAGATAGACTGACAGACAGATAGATAGTCAGATAGAAAGATAGATAGGCAGATAGATAGACAGTAAGATAGATGGTCAGATAGATGGATAGATAGTCAGAAAGGTAGACAGTAAGATAGATAGATAGATAGATAGATAGATAGATAGATAGATAATCAGTTAGATAGGTGGATAGATAGATAGATAGATAGATAGATAGATAGATAGATAGATAGATAGATAGATAGATAGATAGTCAGATAGATATATAATCAGTCAGATATGTGGATAGATAGATAGATAGATAGATAGATAGATAGATAGATAGATAGATAGATAGATGGAGAGATGGTCAGATAGAAAGATAGATGGATAGTGAGACAGATAGATAGATAGATAGTAAGATAGATAGATAGATAGATAGATAGATAGATAGATAATTGAGAAGGACCCCAAGGGGCACCCCGTCCCACCCGTTCTTTCTGCAGAAAGGAGGGCACCATCCGATCTCTCCTGACAGAGGGCCACCCAGCCTCAGAGATGCTAGATAGACACTAGCGAGGTTTTATTTTATTTTTTTGGTCGTGTCAGGAGCAACTTGAGAAACTGCAAGTTGCTTCTGGT